AGAGATTGCTTCTTTGAATCGTTGCTACCAAAGCAGTCAGTAAGCAAAATCTATCTGCATAGATCGCCGTGTTATGAATATTCCTCATTCACTTACTCCGAGACATTTCCTGTTCAGATAATGCATGCCTTTAGGGTCCTATAAGTCCCCCCACAATGGGCATTTCTGCAGTCAATCATCTTTTTTTTTTTTTAAATCAGAAAATATTTCAGGTACTTCCTTAAAAATAAGGAGGAAATTGTTTTCTTGTATTTCCTTTTATTCTCATCCTTTCTGAAATGTTGCACCGCATTAAAATTAGCACTCTGAGGTAACATGAAGGTAGTCCAGATTTTCTGTTTATCTAAGTTTCTAACACCCCCCCACCCCCCTGGCTGAGGAATTCTGGGAGTTGAAGTCCACAAGTCTTAAAAGTTGTCAAGGTTGAGGACCCCTGCTTTAAAGGATGATGCTGAGACACACACGCACAAACACACAGAGACGTGGTTTAAGCCATTTAAATGTGTTCTGTAATTCCATAGTAGAGTATTTTGGCAAGATTTTCAGAGTGCGTGACTTTTTTCAAGCTGTTAATGTACTGGGTTCACACTAGAAAACTAGGGGAGGAAAAGACAAATTGGTGGGGCCAAGAAAAATCCCGAAATCAGATTTTAAATTAAAATACGTTTAAATGAACGAAATACAATTAATGTGATTTAATTCTGTATATTTTAGAATGTTGCCGTCGTCAATCATGAATGCCTAGTTATGCTGCAACTTGTGGAAAACCCTGGAATCTCTACTCCAGGCACTTGGGGGCTATATCTATATGTAGCCCTGAGAAGAATGGAATAATGATGGGATGACTGTAAATTGTAAATGCTGATGTTGTTAATTTACAGGCAAACGATTCAAGTGGTTTCTGTAAATTGTTTTTAGCAGATTTCCCATCACTTGTACTGTAAGAGGCGAAAAGAGACCCATTCAAGAGAATGAGTGAACTGGAACAATTACGGCAGGAGGCAGAACAGCTCCAGAATCAAATCAGAGTAAGATGTCTTTCTAACATATTTCATGGTAACCCAAGGAGATCCTTTTGCGAACAGAAAGGGGGACATTTTATCTGCCCCTGTGCAGTTTTCTCCATAACCCCCTCTCCTGGTATGATATTGCCCCAGGATGGATGAAGGAGTCTTGAACGAGGCTTCAGGGCACAGTGCTGGGCCTCTTTCAGAGAGCATCCATTGGATGGATCCTTGGGTTCAGGGTTGACTTCTGAAATCTTATTCATCCTTTTTGTGATATTTGCAGCCAGGGAGTGTATGTGAGCCCTTTGCCTAATGATATGCTCCTTGCCAGACATAGCCTGCCAGAATGAATCTCTCCCCCCCTTAATAAACACAGTAATTTGGTATTGTTATGTAAAGTAATCCTTTAAATTTTCTTTTAAAGGATGCAAGAAAAGCATGTAGCGACACAACTCTTGCTCAGGTGGGTTGCCATTTACTTTCCCTTCCCGCTCTGCTTCTTTTTCTAAGCAGCTAACAGCTATAAGGCAATTACAGCATTTAAAATGGATGTGCGGAGTCTGCAATTTAGCAGAAGTTCCTTGTTAGGAAAAGAAAAAGGTTTTGATCTCTATCTGACACTGACTCTGAAGATCTGCTAGTATGTTTCCGCAATAGTTTTAAGGGGCTCAAAAAAGAAATCAGTAAATCAAAATAACAGTCATGCCTTCTTGGACTTGTGTATTGGTTGTAACCCCTTGCTCAAGCTTTATTCCATTTGAGTACATTAAACCCTATTTTTAAAATCACGGTTTATGGAACCATCTGTAATTGGCCAGATTTGAATATTATACCAAGTCACAAAGAATGGGTTTGTATGTTGTGCAAAATCCCAAACTTATGATACTATAACTTAGCATCAGCAGTCTTTTCATATAAAGAAATTGTACATCACAAATATAAGAAAGAACTTAGCACTATTAAGTTATTTCTTATACTCTGTTGTCATATATTCTTATGCTGTCCAGGACAAGGTTTGAAAAGTGTCTTTCTCTTTCTCAGATCACCACAAGTCTTGACTCAGTGGGTCGAATCCAGATGCGTACAAGGCGTACCTTGAGAGGTCATTTAGCCAAAATTTATGCTATGCACTGGGGATCTGATTCAAGGTTTGTATGAATACTTTAGGTGGGCAAAATATAGGGTTTTTTTTTTTAAGGAGTTGTTTGTTTCTTGGCCATATGAACAGTTTCATTTGGGGGAAAAAACCAGGCTGTTAATATGGAAACAAAGTTCTCTTAAGCAAAAATAAATGTAGATTCTTGGGAACATATTCAAAGCTTTAAAAAAAAACAACCTGTAATTTGAAAATATGTTTGCTGTATTTGGGATTTGACTCTGAGACATTAGATTTTAGTGTTTAAAAATATTATATTTTGTTCCTAAAATAGCTTTTGTTAAAAAAAAAGAGCATGCATATATATTTACAGTAACATATTTTATGAACTGAAACAGTATTTAGAAGAGTAGCATTTAAAATAGAACTTTAGAAATTTATAGTAATAATTCCTTATTTTAGGCAGATAGGAAAAAAAATGTTCCTTATTTTTAAGATTTAAGCTGTATATATTGAGAAGTTTTATTGTTCAGGGTTTTCCTGAATATTTTAGCACCCCATATAAAATAGATTGGAAATTTTATGTAGATGGAGCTGCCTCAGTCATTTCCTGGGAAATTACTCATTTACATTTAATATAAATAAAATTCTTAGGAGGAGGAGGAAGCATACACATGGTACTATTACAATGAATAGGATGAACCTATTTATCTTCTGTTGGGCTGTTCACTCTTCACCAACAGTGTACAATATTAGAGGGTCTTCCTGATTTCTCATCTCATTGTCAGTTTATCTGGGTTTTAATCCTATACACCGGCAGTTTCATCTTGATGTTCTCCAGTTCGGTTGGATTACTACTCAAAGCCAACATGATATTTATTTATTAAACTAATGAGCTGCCCATCTCACCTAGAGATGACTCTCCGTGTCTTAACAATCAATCAAAACAGCAATATGAAACATTAAAACAATAAATAGGAATACTAAAAGTGGTTTAACTTTGACAAAGGTGGGAAAAAAGAAAGCGAGATGCCTATAGGGGAGGGAGGAGATGGGGTTTTATCTCTGACATGGCCCCATTGAGCCTCGGGCCAATTGGCAGAGCCAAATCTTCAGATCCTTTCAGAAAGCCAAAAGAATAGTTGCTGATTTCACCTGGGATGGCACAATGTTCCAGAAGCCAGGAGCCATGGCAGAAAAGGCTCTTTTCCTGGACCTCGCCAGCTGAATTCCTTGATCGATGGGGTCCGCAGCAAGCCCCTTGTGCCAGCTTGGGTAGGACAGGCCAATCCCATTGGGCCGAGACGGTTCTTCAGATAACCTGGACCCATGCCATGATGGGGGAGAGCCTTCTCTGTGGCAGCTCCTGCCCTCTGGAATGACCTACCCCCCGACCTACGTACAGTTGCGGACCTGCGCCTTTTTCACCGAGCCCTGAAGGCCCATCTATTCCGTGCGGCCGGCCTGGCGTAGTTTGATTATGTTTCAGTGGGGTTTTTTGTATGGGTGTGTTTTTAGAACAGGCCTGTTATTTAATTCGATTTTAGAACAGAAACTATTTATTTATTATCGTGGTTTTTAGTATCGCCTGTTCACCGCCCTGAGTCCCGTAAGGGAGATAGGGCG